TACAGAAGGCCAGGCTTTGCCACTGCTGCGGGCGCCCCGGCCGGCTGGATCGGGGCCCAGGGCCCCCCCAGGGCAGGGAAATCACGGGGCTTTCACTTGCCTTTACCTCCCACGACCTGGTCTAGACACACAGAGGGAGACGGGACGGGACAGGACCGGGGGGATGGCGGGGAATGCGATTTTTGTATTTTTTTGTATTTTTTGGATGGTCGAGATGAGACTTATTGCAAGATTTCAGCTTCCTAGTCTAAAAAATAAAAATAAAATAGAAATAAAATAATCCCCTTCCATAAAATTCATTCTCAACAATACATAAAAAAAAAAAGGTCACAGTATAGCGCCTGCCGGCTGTATTTACAGGGACGGGGTGGCCCCGCGGGAAGGCTCCAATGTGCGCATGAAAGCGGCGTCCGTGGAAAAGTTTCCATCGCGTTAGTACCGTTATCCACTGTCTTCCCGCACCGGGGCATTCCCGGCCGGATTGCCTGGAGCCGCGGCCGGAGCGGGGCTGGATTCGCGGAGCCGCTAGGCTTTAAGGCGAGCAGGACCGGGAGCTGCGGGATCCCTGCAGGGAAGTGCTCGCCCCTGCTGAGGCTCGGGATCCACCTCAATGCGGGATTTGTTTTAATGCAAAACAGGAACAGGGAAGCCCATCCCGTCGGCAGCCGAGCGGCTCCTGGGGGCAGATCCAGCGCTCAGGATGCACTGGGAGAGGAGGGAGCTGGGTCCTGCTCCCGGATGGCTCCGGGGGAGCATCGCCCCGCCGGCGGGGCCGGCGCTGCCCCCGGGCTCTTCCAGGCTCCATCGGGACCACGCTGGGAATGCCGTCGGCCGGCACCTCGTGTCCATCGGGGCTGCTCCGTGTCCATCCGTCCATCCCGGCTCCATGTCCGCAGGGCTGGCAGCTCTCACGCGCTCGGCATCCTCCATCCGGAGCGCGCAGCCGGCGGCGGCCGAGCCGTGGCACCGTCCTCAGCATCCAAGCGCGGCTCCGGCATCCAGCTCCTGCTCCAGCCGCCGGCACACGGACAGCACTTCCCGCCTCGCCGCTCAGTTCCGAGCGCCCCGGCTGGAGCCAAACCAGCAGAGATCGAACCAAAATAAAAAAGAAATCCGTCAAAAAGGACTCGATTTGGTCTAGGAGAGTAGAAAGCAACATTCTCCAGGAGCCCAATCCCTCCGGGAAGGCACCCGCGGGCCGTGCACAGC